CGGATTATTACACTTTGCCAAAACACTATATGGTCTAGGTGCAAGCATAATTCTCATGCCTCTTTCTATTTATAGGAAATTGGTTTTGGATGACCCAAAGCCCACTACAATATGGTTACTGATGGTCGATCAAACCTTGAAGAGGCCAATCAGAATACTCCATAATGTGCTCGTGAAAGTGTAGTCTTTTATTATTTCGGTCGATTTTGTGATTCTTGACTATATGGTGTACTTTGAGGTCCTAATATACTTGGCAGGTTGTTCCTTGCTACTGGTCTCGCCTTGGTTGATATGGGAAAGGACAGATGAAGTTTAGGTTGAACAATGAAGAGGCAACATTTAACAATTGTAGGTCCATGAAGCAAAACGGTGAGATTCAAACGGTATATGCCATATCCCATAGGGTTGAGAGAACGTTTGAGGTACAAATTGAAGAGTGCCTAGTTGTTGAGGCACTAGCGGCAGTTATCATGAATTTTGAGAGTGATGGTATTGAAGAGTATGAGTCATTGGTTTCGGCACTTGAATGAGGAGAATATCGGTCAAAACCAAAGAAATTGGAGTTATATATGAAGCATCGCAGGTCTCCATCCGCGAAACAATCTATTGAAGAGGCTCTAAAATTAGAGCTTAAAGCCCTACCACCTCATCTGAGGTATGTATTCTGGGGTAGAGATGACAGTTTACCGGTAATCATTGCATTGGATTTGAATGTACAATAAGTAGTGTGTTTGGTGAATGTTTTGAAGAGGTTAAAATTAGCCATTGGTTGGACTATTGTAGACATTTCCGAGATCCTTCCCAGTATTTGTTCACAAAAAGTCAAACTCATGCCTGATCACAAGCCAAGTATTGAGCACCAGATATTGTTGAATCCTCCTATGCAAGAGGTAGTGAAGAAGGATATCATTAAATGGTTGGACGCCAGAGTCATATATCCTATAGCAGATAGTAGTTGGGTATGCCTTGTTCAGTGTGTGCTCAAAAAGGGGGGAATGGTAGTAGTGCCCTATGAGAGGAACGAGTTTGTTCCAATGAGGTCGGTGACTGGATGGAGAGTTTGTAGGGATTATCGGAAACTGAATGCATGGACTGAGAAGGACCATTTCCTATGCCTTTCATGGACCAGATGCTAGATAGACTCGCAGGAAAAGGATGGTATTATTTTCTTGATGTCTATTTAGGTTACAATCAAATCTCTATTGCCTTGGAGGATCAATAAAAGACCATGTTTACTTGCCCTTATGGAACATTCGCATTCAAGAGGATGTCATTCAGGTTAAGTAATGTACCGGCCACTTTCCAGATATGTATGATGTCGATATTCTCTGATATGGTGGAGGACACTATTGAGGTGTTTATGGATGACTTTTAAGTTATTGGCAACTGCTTTGATCGCTTGTCTTCATTCTCTCATTCGCAACATAAAGATAGATTTTATAGACTGCAGTATTCAAAGCAATGTTTATCACACACTATTCATAAGAGTAAGACATCAAAAGCATGAACTTACTCTTCTCTAGAGGAGGTAAACAAGTTCATTCCAATTCAAAGTTCCCTAACTCTTCTAGCTGCAGTTCTCCTTTCTCCACTATGAGAATCCCACAAATTTTTCCATGCTAATATGCAAATGAGGTTTTTATCTCCTTACTAGTTGTGCTTCTCAAGAAGTGCCTTGGAGTTTCCATCCTCATTGCACTTGGTGTAGAGGTAACTAATTTCCTTAAAACTATTGAACTTCATTGGTTCTCTTTTCCCTAGAAGATTCAAGTCTAACTCCCAAATCATACATGATACACTAGTTTTTCTCATCCCCAATGTCCCCACCCTTTTCCCTCTTCAATCTCTCATTCCTTCTAGCAAAGTACTCCTCGTAAGATCGGACTTTTTTTAAAAAAGGACTTCAATGGTAAAATACTTTGGACGAGGTTCCCAATCTTATTCTATGTTGTTTCTAGCCCTCTTATAACAAGAATGGTATTATATAAGATCTTTTGTCTATATATAATATGGAAGATAATCCTTATTTATACCTAAGAACATATCCTATAGAATATTCTCCTTACTCGAGTTTAGTTTTCTTCGTTTTTAGATCTTTATATATATTCTCTGAAAATCCAACATGCCCCTCAAAATTGAAGTGAGAAAAACAACTTGATCTTATTTTTGAAACATAGAAAGCAGCCGCCAAAATCTCATTAGAATAGTCACAATCACAACTACAAAAAATGGCAATATAGCAACTTTTCCCTCTAGAAAGTAGCTGGTAACTGCACAACTAAAGATAATGTTTTTAAACATACACATAAAAAAGAATCTATTATTAGCCACCAAAAAGAATTCTGGTGCTGCGAGTCTCCTGTACATCATAAAAGTGGCTTAAAATTGACCAATAAACAAGAAACTCAATGTTTTGAGGAGAGTGTTGGGCGAGTATGGAGGAGGGCTTCCATTACTCTAGAGAGGTCCAAAACTAGAATGGTTGTCGAAGATAAAAGGAAGTTAATTATCATAGGAAAGACGACAACAATCACCAGACAACTAAAAGAAAAAGAAGATAAAATTGGCAGGCAAACTGTGAAGGCAGAAGCTAGTTGAGGGATTATACCAAACTCTTAAAGACTCACACCAGGAAAAAAGAAGAGAACTTCTTAGTGACTTGATTGTTAATTAACAATGTGCTGATCCAAACATTGCTAAAGTCATCAAAAATTGAGTAAGCAAAATTTCATAGATAATTCAATGGGATGTGTTAAGATATTATTATGTACGTAATATGAGGGGAAAAAAGGAACACGCATAGGGAAAGAAGGACATGACAAGTTATGCTAGGGAAAAAATGGGGATGTTTGGTACTTTGGTAAAACAAGGGATATGGAGTTTTTGGAGAGGTTTGGAAAAATGTGTTTCCCTTTCTCTTGAGCTTTTCATTTTGTTGGTGAACTTACATGTTTCCACTTTATATTTATCAATTTTCCATTTCCCAATATGGTCATCCCACATTGTTACCTTCTCAAAAATAATATGGCCATCCAACAATGAACCCATGTTTCTGATTTTTCTAGAAAGATACCTCAATTTAGCTAGATTAGGAACAAAGATGTTGAATGTTAAAGATAACAGTCTGAACCAGCATATGCCTAGGTTTTTTAAACTTGAGTACAAGTTCAAAGCGCCTATGTGAGCGGGTGTATATGGAGAGTTGATAAGGCCATCAAGAACATCTAGAAATTGATACATGATTACATTTTTTTGTGTATATGGACATAAAGGAACAAGAGATGTTAATAAGGGGAGGCTTCTCTAGCTTTTTAGTTGGTGTAGTTTATATCCAACTAGCAGTTCAGTAACTTTAGTCTAGCTTCTGGACTTTATTAGCTCTTTAGTTTTGTCAAAGTCTTTTTTTGTTAGTTTCTAGATTTTTTGTAAGCTTCAACGACATATCTATAACTATTGCATACTCTTAATGGTTTCCTTAACGAAAAATTACTTCGTAACAAAAGGAATATTATAGCATCCTCATATTTTATTTTTATAAATGCTTACCTCATTAAACAACTTTTGTTTTTTGTTTAACAACTTTTTGATATAAATATGGTCATCCCATGATGATCCCATGTTTCTAGTTCTACTATAAAGGTACGTTGGTTAAGCTATTAGGAATTCGCATTCAACATCTCATATAAATATGGTTAATAAGGCATCTCTTTTAAACATAGATCACTTACTAAGGCAATTAATATGAAATAATTACCTACAAGTGTAGGTAATCTACACCTCTTATATAAGTAGTTATTTCTTGTATATTGTTAATCAAGAAAATAAGAATATTTCTCTTCTACTTCATGAAGCCTCTATGATTTGGGTAGAGTCACAAGTACCTCCTATCTTACGATGGGTTATTCTACACCGATTGGCCCGTAAATGATTTTTCTTTGTTTTCGGTGACCAAATTCCTTACAACCTACAAGGACAGACTGCTCCTTTCTCCAACAATCAGCGCCTAGGATGTTCATAATTCAGTATACCAAATTGAACTAAAAATTCTGATATTGTTAGTCCATTGAACCAAAACCCCTCCCACACAAAAAAACATTATATTTTCTCATATAAGCGCCTAAATTGCACTTCCTACAAGAAGTCATTTTTAATCAACTTAAGTAACATTGTGTCACTTATATACATGAAATTGTAAGCACATTGTTGTGGAGACAAAACAACAACGAGTTGGAGTATCTTTTGCAGTTAAGGTGTAACAATGAGGCACGCATCGGGGAAAAACTAAATAAAAAATAACATCAAATAGAAAAGATTACTTAGAGTATGTAAAGAGACGATGATTACCTTTCAGATATTTTGATCGGATGGAAAAATTGAATAGACAGAGAGAGGAAGAGAGGGAAAATTATATTTCTATTTATTTTAGTAGTAAAATATTAGCAGTTCCCTTAAAACATTAACCATAGAGCCACCTCCCAATGGGCAAGTGCGCGATTTGGATTTAATTGAAGCTCCACAGCCAAGCGAACCCAAAAAATACTTGTTTGCTATTTCTTTTATCCTCTTAAACGTTAGTCTCTCTGTCCACTTTTATATCGTCAAACTATAAAAATTTTGACTAATATTTTAGGATATATTTTTATTATATTAATATGCAAAAGTTTGCATCTTATAATACTTTTCATATAGTTTTTGGATATCTAAATTTTGTTCAATATATTAAAATTTTGTTCAATATATTAAATTAACATATTCTAATTTAACTTTAAAAATTAGTCAATTGACTTTTTGAAATGTACAACATAACAATTAAAAGTGGATGGTGGAAGCATAATGGTGTAATACGACTAATGAAATAGTTCTTTACTTTAAAATGGTGCAATTGTGTTTGGAGTTTGCTCAGGGTATAATGATTATAATAGATAAATGAAGTTTTTAATTTGGTTTTAATTAACTTCTATGTCATCTAATTTTAGGTGTGTACAAGTAAACATACATAAATGTCCCTTTGAGATAGTCAATTAAATTTAAATGATGTAAAGAAATTAGCATGGACCTTGCGCAATGATGACATACACAAATTGAGAATTGATTCAAATTTTTATTTTAAAAAGATTTGAACAAATAGACACACATATTCTACGTGACATGATACACATAAAATGTCATGTAGAATGTAAAACACATGTTTATGTATTATGGCTTTGCTAATTATTATAATCCCTTGAGTTTGGGGTTTGAAGAAGTGTTCTATGTTTAGAAAGGTGAGGACATTTAATTTTGTGTCAATCCTAAGAACATCCAAAATATATATTTTTATAAATTAACACAAATTTGTCTTTTTTTTAAAATTCATATGGTTCTTATGTTTGAATGTGTATGACCTCATTTGTTTCTACTACGATTTACACATATGAATATTAAGATTTTTATTAAGATTCGGGTGTTTTGATCTGAATACACATCTAAATATTTAAGATGTGGTTTCTAAATTTGAACACAAAATAATTAATATTGTTTATTTTCAAATAGCTGAATGTGAAAGTGAAATTGAACATTATATTAATAAAAATATTATAAAATTTTTATTTCAAAAAAATATATCACTATTGATTAATTTTTTTAAAAATGTTTTTCATAATTATGATTTGAAGTATCAGTTTTTCATTCAAAATTCTTGATAAACAACAATGCATCAAAAATTGCAACCAATGTTCTTGACAGACATGAATACAAGAAAATTATTAATACAAAAAAAATACTTAAGAGGATTTATTAAAACTTACAAGTTGGGAAAAAATAATGTCTGATTGAGAAAAGTGAAAAAAAAAAGTCTTTAGTTATGAGATAAAAAGGCACGCCCAAAGCAGAAAAGCTATGACTTATTTGACAACTTATCAAATGAGTCTGACTATTGTTAAGAGTGTCCTACAAATCTGATTCATTCAGAGCTCTTCAAACTCATTAAGAGGTTTTTCAAAAAATAAAAAAAATGAACTTAATGAGCTGAATTTGAATGACTCAGATGAAGACATAAAAATAAAACATACTTAATGGGTTGAATCTGAATGATTAAGATTCAGACCTCCATTAAGTGCAAACAAATGAGGTCTACATGTCTGTTTCTGTTACTCTTATATTATACTGAATAGACAAATCCTATAAGTTAGCCAAATGCAGATTTGGTCTAGTTTCGAGTCAAAATCTCCTCTGATCTACTAATTTTCATATTCTAGCAGGGCTTGAATCCCACCAGCCCCATTTTTTTTCTTTTCTTTTTGCAGCGAATTTTGCACCCTTCTTTTTTTTTCCTTTTTCTATCTAACTAAGGGCCTTTTTTTCTTATACTTTTTCCTTCTTTTCTTTTTGCAGCGAATTTTGCACCTTTTTTTCTTTTTCTATCTATTTAAGGGCTTTTTTTAACCTTTTTTTCTTACACTTTTTCCTTTTTCTAATTAAGGTCTTTTTTTATAGTTATTTTTTATTGAAGAGTTTCGGTTAGTATAATTTATACTATGTGATTGCTAAAAGGTTTATGTTAAAGGAAGTGAGCACCCACAACCTTTGAACCCTGGATCAGCCACTGATTGCACGTTAATTTTTTAGTCCATGGCCATTAGTGATTTTTTGGTCATACGTCAATTTTGACTTTTCTCATTATATTTCTTTGGTGTAGCTAATGGCTTTAACCCAATTTTTCCCATTTGGCCATAAGATTTCTCAAATAATATTTAGAACAAATTTGGCAAATAATGTTTGTCCATACAATTTGCCATTATTTCACAAATATTTTTGGCAAATATCCAAATACTAGTTTTTTCTAGTATTCGGGCCAAATCTCATTATTTGCGATCTTTTGAAAATTATTTTTTTACCCCAAACTTATTTCTTTTACAAAAATACCCTCTATAGTAGTTGCTTGCGTTGTATTACATATTTTTTTACGTGAAACACCAAAATAGTGATGAAATATTTACTGAAGATTAAGTAATAATTTGATTGGTGATGAAAATGATGAAAAATTGGCTCAAGGTAACAAAGTTATGCACTTTGTATACTTCACGATGTATCTAATGATGTTTGTTGCGGTCATTCCAAATTATCACACTGCTCTAGTATCATGGACACTATTTGTTATTGTCGTAACCAACATCCATGTGACTTGTAATACAAACCTATAGTTATGTAACGACTTGTTTAGTCATTTCGAGCAGTAGAATCATTTTTGATAAATACTGACTGGGTCGACGAATCACGAGACGGACTGTCATGGTCATGACGGACCGTCATGTACTCCGTCGTCCCACACTTGTGTAATTTTCCTGTGGGTTATGGGATCAACTCTCTAAACTTCGCGACGGAATTGCAGCACGAACCGTCGTAGACACAACGGATCGTCACAAACATCCTTACTGAATTTGACTCTCTGAACTTTGTGACGGACCTGCAGGACGTACCGTCGCAGGTACGACGGGCCGTCACGAGCGGCGTAACCTCAACTGGGTCGAATTTCTGCTAAAAGTTTTGAGGGGTGTTTTGGACTATTTTTGACAAACGGTATGAAATTAGTGGGTAAGTTTAATAACTTATTTACTAGGGGGTTAAAGGAGGTAAGCTTGAAAATAAATAATGGGTTACTTTTACCATAATGAATCATATGATAATTAGGGTAAAAGGAAAAGAATCTGCAGAAGAAAAATAAAAAGAAGAGAAGGAACGAACGAGCGAGAGAGGGAGAAACGAAGAGGAAAGTAAAAAGGCATTGGGAAGTAGCTTACTTGATCACGATTCTTCGGTGGAGTTAGGTTATGGTTTATGCTATTTCATAGTAAACTCTAAATAGCGATTGATATGTATTGGGTAGTAATCTAAAGTCTTCTATATGCTTGATTGTGTGTTTGTATGTTGTGATTGTGGAATCCTAAATCTATCCCTCTCTATTAAGATGATGCATTGACATAAAAGGGGCTTGATGAACTAAAGCAATGAGATTAGGGGATCGGGTGTCACGTTCCGACACGTAGTATTAGGGGATCGGGTGTCACATTCCAACACGTAGTATTAGGGGATCGGGTGTCATGTTTTGACACGTAGTATTAGGGGATCGGGTGTCACGTTCCAACACATAATATTAGGGGATCGGATGTCACGTTCTGACACGTAGTATTAGGGGATCGGGTGTCATGTTCCGACATATAGTATAACGGGATCGGAGTGTCACGTTTCGACACGATAATAATAAAGAGGTTAAATCTTGAATTACGTAATATACTCAAATTCAAAGAACCTATTTCCCAAATGAGTATGTTGTGGAGGCTTGAGCCCTCATGGGTGTGCTTGGTGTTGTGGCCAATGATTTTTGTACTTGTTGTTGTCACCAGTTAAGTGTTGTAGTTGATTTTATACTATTACTCGATATATATTGCTTTCTATTCTGAGTTGGCCGATGATACCTACTCAGTACTTGTTTCTTGTACTGACCCCTACTTGTAGTTTTCTCTTTGTTAATAGTGGCGTGCAGCAACGTGCCATCGACTTCGACTCGTCCGCAACTCTACCCAGTCTCCAGTATATCAGAATTTAGGGTGAGCTACTGTTCCTAGCTCGGACTGGATTCTCTCATTTCGTCTTGATGTCCTTGAAGTTCGGACATGGACCATCTGTTTTACTTACTTTAGCTTCTTAATTACTCTTAGATTTAGAAACTTGAGAATAAATGTTCTTGGTGTGATGACTTCCAGATTTTGGGGATGATAGTTGATAAATTTTAGACGCTTATTTACTGGTTATATTAAAAAGATTTTGAGCCTTCTGCATTATATTTGTTTCATTATGGTTGAAATAGAGGGGTTTAGATTTGTTGGTTCGCTCACATAATAGGATAAGTGTGGGTGCCACTCGCGGCTCATTTTGGGTCGTGAAAAACTTGGTATCAGAGCATTAGGTTCGTTGGTCTCATCACACAAGAACGGGTCTAGTAGAGTCTTGAGGAACGGTAGGGGGACGCCCTTACTTTTCTTTGAGAGGCTATAGGACTTTAGGAAAAATTCAATTCTTTCTTCCTGTCGTTCTATTACTTAGATCCAATTGGTATCTAGGTGATACAAATTGGTAACTGACATACTCACTCTATTTCGCAGATGGCTAGAACTAGAGCAACGGCTGTGCCAACACCAACACCAGCAAGACAGGGTGCGTCTGAGCCAGCCACTGGGGCTGTAGCTCGAAGAGGAGCAGTGGCAAGAGGCCGTGGTAGAGGTCGCGTGAGGACGTCCTCTAGAGGAAGAGGACGAACACCTGGTCCATCTAGTACTAGGGCGGTGACTCCTCCACCGACTGAGGAGGTATTAACAGAGGGTGAGGAAGGGGAAAATGAGCAACTGCAGAATGAGGAATTACCACCCCAACCTACCCCAGAGATGATTAACCAAGGTTCTTACTTATCTTAGCGGGCTATCTGATCAGGGCCAGAGCCCTCCAGTGTTTTCTGCACCAGCACCTCAGGTTCCGGGAGTACAACGTGCAGCTGCTATGGCTCCCCGCATGGATGCCTCATTGGAAGTAGGCACGTTTCCTCGATTAACTATAGGGCATCTAATGACAAGTGATCAGCATGAACTTTTCACTAAATTCTTGAAGTTGAAACCTCCAGTCTTCAAGGGTGCTGAATCTGAGGATGCCTATGATTTTCTGGTTGATTTTCATGAGCTGCTACATAAGATGGACATAGTAGAACGATTCGGGGTTGAGTTTGTGACCTATCAGTTTTAGGGAAATGCCAAAATGTGGTGGCGGTCGTATGTTGAGTGTCAAACAGCACAGGCACCACCTATGACTTGGGCATCATTCTATATCTTATTTATGGAAAAATATATACCCCGGACGTTGAGGGATAGGAGGAGATATAAGTTCCTGAGTCTAGAGCAAGGCAGGATGTCTGTTACTGCTTATGAGGCTAAATTTCGTGCACTATCCAAGTATGCCACCCTGCTTTGCTTCAGTCCACAAGAGTGTATTTGCCGTTTTATGAAAGGATTGTGGTCAGATTTGCAGATCCCAGCCTTACAACTAGCTGTTGCAGCAAATTCCTTTCAGGAAGTGGT